ACATTCACAACCCTCTACGGACACCTTGGCAATTGAATCGCCATTGGCTAGTAAATTTTTTTTTGTTTAGGTGTATGGAGAATCACAATCAATCAATAAATAAATATATATATATATATATATATATATATATATAATTTTTTTGTTTGTTTTACAGTAAAAAGTGTTTGCATCAATTCAGATTTGCAGTTTTCACTTTTATAGTATGTGCTGCATAATTTACCAATTTCTATAAGTAGTAAATGTGTTGTAGAAATGTTAAAATAATGTTATAATTTTCAAATTAAGTTTTTCTCTTTGCAATTGGCTGAGAAGCTTTGCTTCATTTCAGATTTGTAGTTTTCAGTTTTAATCATGTTACTTCATGATTTTTAATCATGTTATTGTAACAATTTCTTTAAAGAACGTTGTGGATGCGTTGTAGAAATGTTATACTAAGGTTTTCGCATTCAAATTAGGCTTTTCTCTTTACAACTGGCTTTGACAAACATTTACTTCAACTGTTTTCAGTTTTTAATCATTTTACAACATTTTCTTGAACGGAAAATGGCAGATTAAACTGTTTCACAATGTCGCAATTAATTCCAGTGCTCAAAAATAACTTCCAGTCAATTCTGACCAAAATCATGGTTTTTCCGTAAATCTCCAGTTCAGTTCTATTGTTCTGTGAGTAAAAAGGGGCGGAGCTTAGCAAGGGGTCTTAAAAAAATAATAAAATAAATAAATGCAGTAGTAGTTTTAAATAAAATAGAACCTGTTTTAGTTGAGATTATGTTTGAATAACCGTCCATCACATTATTGGAGAGCAAACTCTGAGATAATCCCTGTTTAGAAGCTACTTGAAACGTAAGCCTGCACTTGGAGCAGGAATGTCATGTTCTAGTCCACAGGTTCATAATTCAATGCTAAAAACTTTCGATCTTAAGAGAGCACAAAGATGTTTTCACCTGTCAAGGCGACAGCTCTGATATGCAGATGTGTCTGCTGCATCTTTCATCCTGATCCCCCACACACATGCGGCGGCAATGAGCACTTGGGAATAAAGACGTCTCGACTGTGCGAGGGTGAGAACACATGTTTGACATGTTGTCATTGCAGATTAAAGCACGAGTCTCACTCTCCACGTGCCCATCGAGCCGCCTATTATTACAGAAAGACTCGCATTCAAACGGACGGCCCTTCAGAGACATCTGTGTCTGCGTGTGTTACTGAAGAGCGGTTAGTGCTGCACTTCAGAGCAGATGTGTGTGGCTCACGAAAGCCTTCGGAAAGAAATGGCAAAACACATGAAAAGCGTGTTTGTGAAAAGCGAAAAATGTGTGCAGCCTTTTTTTGGGGGATGGGGGATTACATGCAGTTATCATAGAAACTGTAATGAAGAATTTGCAGTGGATTTTTTGTGGACATTGTATCTTATTGTAACGGCACAAAAATATTGGTATCTTAATTTTTTTAATTTGTTTTTGTTTGTTTGTTTGCCTTTTCTTTTGTTTTTCAATTTTTTTTTTCAATTATGTATCTATTTATTTATCCATCCATCTATCTTGAAGTTTTTATGTTAGAGTCAACTTCAACCAAATTGAAAACACCTTGAATTTATTTTAATTTATTGTTTTATTTGTTTACTGCTGTGCTTTTTTTCCCCTCATAAATCAAAGGTTTTTTTTACGTAAACCAAAAAAAAAAAAAAAAAATCTCATTGACTTTTCAAATAAAGAAATACATTTTTATTTAAATTAATTTATTGTTTTATTTCTCTGTGTCTGCATTTTTTATATTTTTTTATATTTTTGGCACTTTTTTGCTTGTTTTTACACGGATAGATAAGGATCAAATGTTTGTTGTTAAATGTTAAATGATGTTAAATGATTGTTAAATGATGACTAACTCTTTGATGACTAAGTCTTTTATACTGATTTTTTGAGTGTAGATTTTGGAACCTGGTTTGTTCCCATGTCTGCGTTTCTGAGTGACTGTAATCAATTCATTTCTGATTCTTTCATTTCCTTCAGGCACAGCTTACCTTCCTCCCCGAGGTCATGCGTGATGTACTGTATCCCTGTGTCTGTTACAACAGCGATTGCATTTACACTCTTTAGATCTAGGTTAATCATTTATAATGTGGGCGATAATGGAGGAGGGCTGGCCTTCGGGTGTGATGGTGGTTCTATGTGTGACGTGTGTCTATGTGAATTATACAGGCACTCAGTGTGCTTTATTTTGGTCTGTGTGCCTTTGTGGTTAAGTGCATAAAGTAAACTGCCTGATGGAACTGTCCTGTACGGCAGGAGAGACACTTTGATTTATTTATTACCACTGCTTGAAAGTTACTGAATGATTTGTACAATTACAATATTTATAAATAGACTATCTATCTATCTATCTATCTATCTATCTATCTATCTGTCTGTCTGTCTGTCTGTCTGTCTGTCTGTCTGTCTGTCTGTCTGTCCATCCGTCCTTCTGTCATTCTATATATCTTTCTACCTGACTGTCTGTACATCCATTCATCGTTCAATCATTCTGTCCTTCTTTCTATGATTCTACCTGACTGTCTGTCCATCCATTCATCGTTCAATCATTCTGTCCTTCTTTCTATCATTCTACCTGACTGTCTATCTATCCACCCATCCATCAATCCATCCATCCTTCGTTTCATCTGTCTTGCTATCTATCTGGCATTTAAGCATCAGTCCAAAAAGTTCACAAACTTTTCAAGGTCAGGAGAAATATAAATTCACCAAAACTTTTGACTGTTAGTCTATAACCTGAAATATTTAATAGGGCTCTTGTAAAAAAATGTTTTTTATTACCAGGATATTTCCTCTCCTAAATTCTTCTTCCTAAATGTGTAGGTCATTGTGAAATCAGGACCCGGAACGTTCTTTGGCTTGGCAATTTACAAAGACTTCATCTTCTGGTCCGACTGGACGCGGCGGGCCGTGATCCGCTCTGATAAGTTCACCGGAGCCAATACGAAAGTCCTCCGTGCCGACATCCCTCATCAACCGATGGGAATCGTTGCTGTTTCCAACGACAACAACAGCTGTACGTAATTAATTTCCATTGTTCCATCACATGACGCAACCGTTTTAATGCTAAATTCAAACCAAATGTTTTTAGATGAATTGAAACTGAAGTGTCGTCAACAAATCTTTATACTATATTTCTAAAACCATTGAATCAAAGGCGGTTCTAAAACAGAATGTTGAAAACAAGCAGATAAATATGTTTCTTGGTTGACATAGCGGATGACTTGCAGTGTTGTTTGTATTAGTCATACAAAGCTTGTTTGCATTATTCACATGGGGTGTCTGAGATGCTTACTCTCTGATGACAGCAAACACAATACAAAGTCACTGATGTTAGATGCGTCAGAAGTCACTGGGGGCTTTTTTTGATGGGTGCGCGGTGAAGCTGGAAACAAAATCAACACATTCTGACAAGAAGGTCAGATAAGATGAACGTAATCACAGTGTTCTCTGCTGATGCGTATTACAGGACAAGCTGGGTTTATGTCAGCACAGTATGATAAATACAAAGACAAATCATATTAATGAGTGACTGTACATCATTAATAGGAACTTATCCAGTAATTACAGGCTGCTATATTTCCTTATGTAAAATAAATTATGTGTCCAAGGACTTGCTTTAAGTTTTTGATTCAGATTTTATCTGTATATTCAGATCCTGAATCAGCATTGTGATTAGGGTTCAGATTATGACCTAGACTCATATACAGATTGTGATTAAGATTCCTCTGAATTTGGATTGTGAATTCAGAATATGATCTATATTGTGCATCCATATTGTAAATTAGATTCTATTAGCACTGAATAGACAGATTATAATATATAATCTATGCAGGGTTTGAAATGAACTTTTTCACTCACCAGCCAATTAATTAATTTAGATTCATTATCTATATTGTACTACACCCATGTTTAGTGGTGGAAAGAGTACAGAAAATTTGTACTCAAGTACAAGTACTGTTACATTGCTGAAATAATACTCAATTACATGTAAAAGTACATGCGAGAAAAAGGTACTTAAGTAAAAGCACAAAGTACTCTTCTCAAAAACTACTCCGAGTACTAGTTACTTTTTTTAGCCATTGATATTTAATGAATTGTCACCAAAAAAAAAAACACTAAATAAAATCCGAGATCCATGGAGAAAATAGAATATAGCAGTATAAACATAACTTTGCTTTCCATTTATTACTTAAAACATTTACAGCAGGTGAAAAATATCTACATGTATACATATACATCTATCTAAATATATAATGCAGTAGAGCAGTCTACAGAAAGTAAATTCATACTTTAAATAAAAGGGTTATTGAGCTGTTGTTTACATTGTCATACAGGCCTGGATCTACAGTGGTGCTTGCTCAAACGAAAGCAAGAGCACCCTCAGTTGAAGCTGTAATAAAAGCATATTGGTGAAACAGATTTGGCAAACGATCCAGTTCATTTGCATTTGGAGAGCATGTGTTTCTATAGCGTTGAGCAATGTAGCCACAGCCATATCTGATGATTTCTTGAAAGCAATGGCCAATCAGAGGTGTTTAAGTTAGAATCCACTCACCGCAAGTCGAGACGAGACACGGCATGACACGAGATTTCAAAATGAGAACTATATGACATTTTTAACCAGTATTTTTAAAGGGTACATCGGATGAAATGTTCAATTTTTTAGCTTTTTTTTTTTTGCATTTAGTTTGGTTTCTGGCATGTCTGTCGTTCAGAAAAGCTGAAATGAAAACACGCAGCCAGTTTGTTATGGGATGTCTGATATTTACGACTACACATTTCGGGCATCCAAGGCCAAGTCCTATCTAAAAGAATGGGGGAATTCAATTCTCATTCAAAATACTGAGACCCAGTCCAGCCTGGCCACTGCTGGAAGTACATTTACATAAATTCGGTTTAGTGCACATTGTGACTTTTCCGTTTATATTCCCCAACCACGAAACTTACACCTGCAGTTCTTGGTAATTGCATCTGTTGAAACTCACAAAGTGCCTGAGGTGCAGATCTTTTAAAGGGAAGAACCCAAACTTGATTCACCCAGGAAGTAAAATGGCACCATGAAATTTACAGAATTAGCAGAATTTATAGAAAGTGACACATTTACAGAATGCCGGCTTTCCACTGTGCTTCTTTCTTGGCTTTGGTACAGACGTTTCTTTGTCTGTGGTTCAAGCCTCAGTGTTTCAAAGGACTCTAATGAAAGCAGCTTAGATGCTTGGCATCCCAAACTGCAAATGGAGATTTTCTCATCTCAGGACTGTCTTAGGAGATTTGGACCTCAGTAGCCACCGTCCCTCGTATCTATATAGTGCAGATGACTCTATTAAGAGAATTCGCTCAGACAGTGCTATAAAATGGTGAAATTCTAAGTAATTCCCCACATTGCTTTTTAAATCATAACAAAAAAGACAAACTCTATGTACCTTTATGCTGTTTCAAACCACACAACTCTTCTTTTGCCTTCTGAATATAATGACCTAATTATTATTTTAGGTTAACTGCCCCTTTAAAAGTGGATGCCATCTGCAATTCTTTATATTACAACTAATAAACATTGCTTTTTAATTGCCAGGCAACAGAAATCAGCAATTTAAGAGTCCAAGCTATTTAAAGGCCTATCCCATAATAAGCAAAAGCCTCCCAGGACTGAAGCCCCATGTCGCTACGGTGAAAGACGCTGGCCCAATGCACTCATCTGAATCCTCACCATTTGTGCAGGGGAATACACTCAGCCCATGGCTCCAGAGTCTGGCAGCCGCTTGTGTGTAGATAGGGCACAGTTCAGAGACCCATGCTCCACGCCAACGTCTGTGCCAAGCACAGTTCAAACTCACACCCGCCGAGGAGCCCAACCCTCTGACTGGCACTGCAAGAGTGCCCTTCAAGCCTTGTGTGTGTGTGTACGGTGCTAGGCTGAATGTATTGTGTTAAAAGACATCAGATGCCTTAGGCCGCATTGGAAATAGAGCATTCTGAAAGGCTTTCACAAAGTATTTCACACATCATTCAATAATGCTGTTCTTTATTCCAGCAAACAAACATGTTGTGTGCCCATTTACTAAATAATAAAACGAGCCTTATATACACTACCGCTCAAAAGTTTGGGATCAGTAAGACTTGTAATGTTTTTTAAAGAAGTCTCTTATGCTCATCAAGGCTGCATTTATTTGATCAAAAATACAGAAAAATAAACAGTAATCTTGCAAAATGTTATTATCCCTTGCTCTAAATATATTGTAATTGAAGATTGTGGTCTAGATTCAGTCTAGATTATGATCCATATTCTAAATCCAGATTATGATTCAGAATCTGGTTGCTCTGAGTACATAATTCTGTTACATCCATTTTACAATCGAAATTCATTTTGACATTATTTTAATCAATATTCATTTTGATGACAAGTTTATTTATTATTTATTCACTTTTTAAAATTTTTGTACACATTTTGTACACATTTCAGTGTGTATAAAATGTTAAATTCCTAACCCTAAGTATGAGCTGTAAAGCTGGACAGTTGTAAATGTCACGGTTTGATTCAATGCTTGATAGATCTGTTACCAAGGATTTCTCTTAATCCTTTTAGGTGAGTCATCCCCCTGCAGCGTGAATAATGGAGGGTGCCATGATCTCTGTCTGTTGACTCCTCTTGGTGTGGTAAACTGTACTTGCCGTGGAGAACGGATGTTACTGGATGATAACAGATGTGTATGTAAGTCCTGTACTCTCTCTCTCTGTATCTCTTGCTAATTTTCTTGGACTTTTATTTTCACTCACCCCAAATTTTGTAGTATGTCCCGGTGCTTTGAGTTATGTCCATGTCTGTTAGTATTGAGGCTGTCTATATGCTGGAGTATTCCAAATAATAGCTGATATTTCAGATTGGGATGCTGGTGATAAAGAAAGTTTTGAGAATATGTTTGGTAGCTGATTGGCTCTGGATTGAAATTCAGAGCGAATGTTCAGGTCTGCAGTGCCCCATGTCTGTAGGCGAATAGGTGAGACACAGGGAGCATGTGGGACAGAACGGTTGCTTTTAGCATAGTGAGAGAAACATGCTGCTGCTCTAGAAACAAACAGCAGCAAAATCTAGGTGTGAGGTTATGGCCCAACAACCTTATTACTGCAGAATCCTTCCTGTTGTTCTGAATATTAATTACAAATCCAAATTTTGACTGTGATTCCTGTTGCTTTGAATGTAGATTTCAAATCCAGTTTATGATTCAGATTAATTTTACTCAGAATTTAGGGTTTAGACTCAGATTTAGATTAAATTATGAAGACCAACTGTGCATACAGTTTGTAATTCAGAAGCTGAGTGATCCATATTCTGAATCTGAATCCAGATCATTCACATTCCATTTGCTGTTAATATATAATTCTGGAACTATATTATAATTCTGATCTATATTGTGCATCCATATTGCAGCTTAAATTCATTTTGCTTTGAGTATAGATTCTAAATCTAGATTGTGATTCAGGTTCACTTCGCTCAGAATTTAGGTTCTTGGTCCAGATTATGAAAAAAATAAAAAATAAATAAAAAAACAACAATTGTACATACAGATTGTAATCCAGATTTCCTTTGCTCTGAAAATAGATTCTGAATATGAAAACAGTGGTCTAGATTCAGATTATGATCCATATTCTAAATACAGATTATGATTTAGATTCCAATTGCTTTTTGGAACCAGATTGCGATCTATATTGTACATCCAGATTGTAATCCATGCTCTAAATATAAATTCTAAATACAGATTGTGATTCAGATTTATTTTGTTCAGATTTAGGTCGTGGATCTGTATTCTAAAATATAATTGCACATCCAAAATGCAATCCATATTTCCTTTGCTTCAAATATATGGACTCAATACCAAGATTGTGATCTGGTTTTAGATTATGATCCATATTCTAAATACAGATTATGATTTTGATTCTGTTTGCTCTGAGTATCAAATTTTGAAACCAATTTTGAATCCAAATTTTGCTCTGAATATAGATTAAATCAAGATTGTGATCTAAATTTTCTATTCAGATTATGGACTAAATTGTTATTCCAGATTGTGATCCAAATTTATTTTGCTACACAGTAAATGCCAAGTGCTTTTATTTTCACCTATTTGGAGCCACTATGGATTCTTATCTGGAAAGATGCTCCAGGTCTAAATGCCAGTTTCTTTACAACACATCTGCATAGTTGATACTTTTAGCCTGATCTAGATGTTAAATAGTGTTTCCGTCTATGTATTGATACCTAGAACATCCATTTACTGTACCTGAGTACAAAAAAAATTGAAAACACGATTGTGTGACTTAAAAAAAAAACATTGGTTAGATTTAGGACCACTGAACATGGACACTACACACTGTGACTTTCAGTCTAGGATTGCAGCAGCGCTCAACTCTCTGCTTGAAGAGGATTATGGGGCTTATGTGTGTTTAGATGTGTTTTTGTGTTCAAACAGCTAGACATAGTGCATCTGATGGAATAGAACAGGACACAGGGGACGTGATGCAAAGGCCAAGGAGACATCCCTATGAACTTTGTGTACATGGGCTAACAGTAAAAAAAGTGCAAATGGAACTCCATTGCCATGTCTGTCCTCGGTTGATTATGTGTCAAACACCCAAGCAGTCAATGCACATCCCTAATCTTTACTTCAGTGCAGCACATCACAGCTCTACAAATCTCTTTTACTCTCATCTTCTAGCTCTGAACTCCTCCTGTAACATCCACTCTGAGTTCCAGTGCGGGAATGGGGAATGCATCGATTACCAACTGACATGTGATGGCATCGCGCACTGCAAAGACAGGTCGGATGAGAAGATGCAGTATTGTGGTAAGAACCCAATCAGGCAGGGTGCTGTGTTTGAGCCCTCAGGTTTCATCTCGAAACTGAATGAAGGAAGCTGCAGAAGGTCTCCCTGTTCTCCTGTGACTCGAGCTAATAAGACGAGCTTAGAGCAGCCTGGCAAAAACGTAATGAGTGCGAGTGATGTGACAGGCCGACTGCTGCTCTGTCTCTCCCTCCCTCTGTCTTTACTTTCTCAAGCAGAGTTTCTAATGAAGTAGTTGTTGTCAGATAGTTTTACTATCCAGACGTTACATTGCTATCTATCTATCTATCTATCTATCTATCTATCTATCTATCTATCTATCTATCTATCTATTTTCCTTCATTTAACTGTGTTAAATGTGTACAGTCCTATGCCTAATCTTGGCTTTGTCATTCTTTAGAAAACCGGAACTGCAGACATGGCTTTAAATCATGCTATAACCAGCGGTGTGTGGCCAACCATCAATTCTGTAATGGCGTGAATGATTGCGGGGATAACTCCGATGAAGTTTACTGTAACAGTGGGTATTTTTTCTTCTTCTTCTCACAGAATTGAAACCTATGATCAGTCCAGTGTTGGTCAGTTCAGGAATCTTCTCTTTTGTTCCCCCTTATTCTGCCCAACCCTCTAGAGCAGGGTTCCTCAAATCTTGCTCTGGAGGGCCAATGCGCTGCAGAGTTTAGCTCCAACCCTGATCAAACTCACCTACCTGTGATTTTCTAATGATCCTGAAGACATTGATTAGCATGCTCAGGTGTGTTTGATTAGGGTTAGAGCTAAACTCTGCAGCAAAGTGGATCTCGTGGGCCAGATTTGAGGATCCCTGCTCTAGAGAAATGCAGTCCATCAATCAGTAGAACTCTTGAATTCTCGCCTTGCTTGAACATCTAAATAAAAAACTATTAAGCTTTAATGCAGAAACACATCTATAATGTAGAAAGTACAAACCACAGATCTCGGCATTGCTATGCTTCAGTGAAGGTCAAAGAAAGCTGTACTTTTTCCAGCAATGCAGGAATCTAAATACTTGTAAATAAATGAATAAAATGCATCTCATTACAGATATTTTTATTGTACCTTGTCTCCTGTAGCCAGTGAAATTTGATTGTTATCTCCTCTTTGTAAGAATCAAACGCGCGCCTCTTTAAATAAACCAGTTTTGCATTCACACGACCACTGGTTTTGAAAATGAAGTGAGATCTAATTTAGCTATAACTGGGTTTCTGTTCTCATTTCGTTAACACAATTAGTTTGAACCGCTGTCTGCTTGAATATCAATGTACTTACACTATTAATTATTATTATTATTATAATTTGGAATGATTCAAATGTGAAAGCGAAGTTAACCCAGAGCTCTTTGCGTTCATATTACATATTAAACTTTACTGAAACAAACCAATACCATTTTCCTAGATCATCTCAATTCTGTTTGCTTAAAAGTGGTCTTACTTCATCTAAAACGTTTGTGTTTGCTTTAAAGTAGACTTCATTTAAATCATTTTGATTTGCTTTAAAGTGGTCTGACTTCATTTAAAGTGTTCTGGTTTTCTTTAAAGTAGTTTGACTTCATTTAAAGCGTTTTGATTTGCTTTAAAGTTGTTTGACTTCATTTAAATAATTTTGATTTACTTTAAAGTAGTCTGACTATTTAAAACGTTTTGGTTTGCATTGCAGTGGTCTAACTTAATTTAAAACGTTTTGATTTGCTTTAAAGTGGCCTGACTTCGTTTAAAGTATTTAGATTTGCTTTAAAGTGGTCTGACTTCATTTAAAGCATTTTGATTTATCTAGTTGTGTTTCTAGTTAATCTACATTTTTCCCTTCTGGTTCCAGATTCCGCGTGTTCGTCCTCTGAGCGATGTTGTGCAGACGGCTCCTGTATTCCCGCATCATCTTGGTGTAATCAGATCATCGATTGCGCTGACGCATCGGACGAGAAAATCTGTAGTAAGATTAGCATGTGTGAAGGCACTAGCCTGTTCGCACTACTGATGGTGTATGTTTGTTTGTCACTTAACGTGTGAAACACTCGTCTCATTGTCCTTTCTGTGTTTCCAGATAGCACAGACTGCATGGAATACTACAGACTGGGTTCTCGCGCCAGCAACAATGAGAGGTTTCTAAGCTGCAATTCCACGTCGCTGTGTGTTCATCCCTCCTGGATCTGTGACGGAGCCAACGACTGTGGGGATTACGCAGACGAAATACACTGCCACGGTAGAAATGCATTTGCATTCTCTCCCCCGGTCTGTCTTTTTCTTGTTTGTTTGTGTTCAAAGTACAATGTTGTCACGTTAAGAATGGAAAATAGCACTGGGAACAAAGGGAATACAAAGTTTGCATTGCGGTGCAGTGACGGCTCACATTCCCAGAGCTTTTTATGAGGCTCTGAAACGTGGACTTTTTTGACTCAATCACACGGAGTCCTGCCAAATATTTGACCGTAATATACTTAGATGTTTATGATATATGTAGAAAGCCCAGGACCTACTGAGAATATTTAATGACTTAATAAGCCCTTGCGGCTGAGTGAAACACAACTCTGGAAGTCGATGTGTATGTAGACATTTTTTTTCTGGAACTTTACAGTCCTGTCAGAATTTATGAGTTGAGCGCAAATTAATGACATTGCAATGTCATAATTAAAAGTTGGAAACTCTGGATTTTCTTTGAATGAAAGAATCATGGTAGAAGCAGGTTGCTAATGATCACATGTGAATTTTAATTGTGACTTGTTGACGCTACAGTTTCATTTATACACATTCTGACTGATTATATATATAATGTAATATAATGTTATATATTATATAATAATATATTCATTTAGCAGACACTTTTATCCAAAGCAACTTACAAATGAGGACAATAGAAGTAATCAAAATCAACAAAAGAGCAATAATATACAGGTGCTATATTAGTATATTATTACAGTGTTATATTTCTCTTAAATCTCATTTTGTAAAACAAAAATCGTGAATTGAATCGAATCATGAGTTGAGTGAATCGTTACATCCCTAATAGATAGATAGATAGATAGATAGATAGATTAATCTAATGACCATTTTATGTCAACGTGTTGTTGACAAATAATATATATATTGTGTAATGCATACATATACATATATTACACAAAGCCACTTCACTTTTAACTTTTACTTTATCATAATTAAAATAAATTGATTTTGTTGTTGTTGTTTGTTTGTTTTTTTATTTTTGTTTCGTTTTATATGGATTTTCATATTTTAAGACTGAAACTTGATCTTGTAAAAAGGGTGAAACAAAATAAACAATATATAAAGACATTTGAAAAGTATCATATGAATAATACCATTGTAAACAGTTTTCTTAGACAGTTTTAGAGTCTTTATACAGCAAAAGAAAAAATGTTTTAATAAAAACTAATGCCTTGGGACATAAAAGTGCCTGTGAACACCCATTTATGACTTCAAAACTTCTGCGTAGGAACTTTTCTGGACATCTTGAAGGCAGAAATACACAATACAAATATGTGATTGTTTGCTAAAGCACTGGTTTTCTGAAAATGTTTGCTCCAAAGAGTGTATGTTCCTTGACAACTAAACTGCAGTAGAGCCCTCCAGAAATTATAGCTCAAACCTTTAATAGAAATATGAAGAGGATTCAACTCCTGACCTCTGCTGTGGTGGCTCCTATCTTACAGACAACGAAAACTCAGATGTTGCAGGTTTAAAATGACCTTGATACGCAAGTCTGAATTTAAATGCAAGTACAAAACCACAGATAACAAATTGGATGACTGAAGTTGAGGTAGACATTCAGAGGTCAAACAGTTGATTTATTTACAACGTTCTCATCCTTTTTTTCTTGAAATAGTGGTGAACCTAGCAAACCCTTTGTTAATTTCAGAAAGTAAGAACAGGTTCCTCTAAACCCTCATATTTCTTTATTTTGGCATTTCTCCCAGCTTCTTCAGTCCATACGTGTGAGGACGGCCATTTCGCGTGTCCCAGTGGAAACTGCATCTCCAGCGTCTGGATGTGCGATGGACAGAAAGACTGCGAGGACGGAGCGGATGAATTTCAATGCGGTGAGCCCCACCTTTCTGCATTTATCAACTAATCATGCCGGCTGGACACATCGCTCTAGATGTCATACTAATTAATTTATTCACGTCTAAAGACTTTATTTATCTTCTAGTCACGCATGACCATCTACATTAGAACGTAAGTGCTATTTTGCTCTGATCCACTTGTCATGGCTAGTATGTGGTAAGTGCTAAATGGGAGAGTTTAGCTGCTTGACATTCCTGGCTTTACAGTGTTAAGGCCCGTTCACACCAAGAACGATAACTATAAAGTTAACGATATTAGTGTCCACACCAGCGGACGATATCGTCTGTTTATTCCAAGTGCACGCTCGTCTGCCACTTTAAATTCTCGAGCTCGTTATGGCAGGGTTGATTCTGATTGGCTGTCAATGTTTTTATCGTTCATCAGCTGGAAAAAAATCGCTCTGAAAGTGATTCCAACGATATCGTTTCTCTGTGCCTTTATCGTTATAGCTGTGGTGTGGACTCTGCTATTCTTTAATATTGAGAACGATTTTTAGAACTATATCTTTATCGTTATCTCTATAGTTATCATCCTCGGTGTGAACAGGCCTTTAAAGTCATGCTTTTATCAAAACGTTATGTTCGGTTTCTTGTCTAGTCTTTGTTTTATAATTCCAGACGAATTACTGTAGAAGTCTGATAAACTGGTATTTTTTATGTGATTACATTTTATTGAAGCTCATTTCTACTTCAGGGTAAAAAACAAAAAAGCTAATTATATTCTCCTAATTGCGACTTTTTCCCTATAATTGTGAGATTATATGTCCCATTTGTGATTGTGTATTTTCAAAATACTTTTTTTTTTTTCTTGTAATTTACTTTCAGAATTCTTGGAATGCTACATTGTATGTCTCAATGTTACTTTATTTCACATAATTATTTCTTGAAATTTAAATCTCCCATGGTGACTTTTTATCCCAAAATGTGTCTTGCAGCGCTTTCTTATACCTTATATTGCAACTATTTCTCATAATGACTTTATTTCTCACAATTTGTGACTTTATGTCTTCCATGGTGAATTGAAGTCTCACAATGTGACTTTATTTCTCAATATAGCAATTATTTTTCCAGAATTGCTACTATATTTCACAGTATATATACTCTATACACCTTACAATGCTGCTTTATATCTCGCAATATGACTTAATTTCACGTAATTTACTTAATCTCTCACAATTTGCAAATTTATATCCTAAAATGTGACTTTATTTTTTGTTATAGCAAGTTTGTGACTTTATATCTCCCATGGTGACTTTATACCAAGAAAAGTAACTTTATGTTTCACAATTTTACTTTGTTTTTTTTATAATTGTGACTTTTTCTCGTTATTATGACTTTATATCTGGCAAATGTGACTTTATATCTTGCAGTGAATTCTATCATTTAATCTTTGTCTCAAAATGGCCTTTTTATTTATTTATTTATTTATTTATTTTCTGTGAGGTGGAAATGGTAACAATTACATTGCGAAATACGAAAGTTGTAGTTAATTTCTACATAAACCAACACACTTCAATTTCAGGCTATGCTTAGAGAGAAGTTTAGTTGAATTTTACGATATTCTTGAAGAAAGTTTCATGAAAAGTTGTATAACTTTAAAATATGGTTATTCCATCCATATCTTGCTATAATGTATAACTATCAATCTAACATATTCATGTTTCTCTCCATCTCAGACTTTGTGATGTACCTCTAAAGTGAGCAGAACTGTAGGGTAGGAAGTTCTAGGAAGTTCTGCTTTCCTGCTGCGAGCAATCTTTGCTTTGCTTCTGTCATGCCGGGAATCCTTTTGGTTCCGCTTCAAAGCATCTTATTCTGAACAAGAACTCTGATCTGCGAGTGAAGCTCCCGTGTAGCCAGCGCAACTCTGGACAGCGCTGCGACCTCATAGTCACTGACCCAAAATCAGAAGTAATACTGGTTTGTTTCCATGTCCTTGATATTGACGAATGTGCTGGTGCTTTTTCACCTTTCATTTTGGTTATTTGTTCTTTTGAAACTTCCCTTAAGGCAGGTTTTGAAGAATGACCCTCATTTTCCTCTTCGCTTTCGTTGTCTTCAGCCCTTTTGGTGTCACTTTTTAAAACCTTTCTCTCGGTGACCTTGGTCTCTCTGTCCCAGCCTCCGGTGGCTTTGCCGAGATATTACAAAATCAATGGCAAACGCAAACGTTCAGACTGCTGATAGGGGCATATTTGTTCGCACCTCCCGTGGCTCGCATGCGTATGCAAGTGGACAATTACTTTAAAAGTGCTTGCTAGCAGGATCGCCTTCCAATGTTGAATCTCTAATCCCAACAAGGGCGAAGGGGGCTTTTAGAGGCCACCTTCTTCAGATATTGCACTCAATTTGGCTTTCAAAGGCAAACTTATAACTATTAAAATGTATTCATAGATGTTTACACTTTCATTTTGCTTATTATAGGGTATAATTCTTAGCTTTCCCACCAAAATGTATATGCGGTCATTATTTATTTACCCTTATGTCATTTCAAACCCGTATGGCTTTTTCTTTCTTGGAACACAATATAAAATATTTAGAAATTTTTTTTTTGTTTGTTTTTGTTTGTGTGTGTGTTTTATTTTGGTTTTATTTTTATTTTTCTTAGTTTTCCCACCCAAATTAAATTTCTGTTATTATTTATTCACCATTGTGTTTTTGCAAACCTGTATGACTTTTTCTTCCCTGGACCACAACATTAAATATTTTGAATTAGTTTTTTTGTTTGTTTTTTGCTTTTTGTGTGTGTGTGTGTGTGTGTGTGTGTGTGTGTGTGTTTTGTTTTGGTTATTATAAGGTATAAATGTTCTTTTTCTTAGTTTTCCTGCCAAAATTAAGTCTTTCCAAACCTGTATGACTTTTTCTTCCCTGGACCACAACAAATACCAAAAAAAATATTTTGGTTAGATTTTGATATATATATATATATTTTTTTTTTTTTTTACATGTTTCAGAGCAGTGTAAACATTTCCAAAATATAATATTCTGTATTCTATAGAAGAACTACAGTCAAAGTGGTTTCATAGATGTTTACTCTTTCATTTTGCTTCTTATAGGGTATAAATGTTCTTTTTCTTAATTTTCCCGCCAAAATGAAAATTATGTAATTATTTAGTCACACTCATGTCTTTCGAAACCTGTATGACTTTTTCTTCCCTGGACTACAAGATAAAATACTTTTGAAAATGTTGATGCATTTTATTGCTATTTATCCCTTCAAATAGCGAAAAAGAGGGAAAAGAGTAGCGTGAACCTTTACAAAATATCATATTTTGTGTTTTATGGAAGAGCTAAAGTCAAAGTGGTTTAAAACAACATAAATGATGAAAGAATAATAATTTTTGTTTCTCCCGCTTCTTTAAATGTCAGTATGGCCTCCCTTGGGTTTGTTTTCAAAGTTCAGTCTTTTCCCTCTAGATTCATCGTGCCTTTGGAATCAGTTCGCCTGCTCGAAAAACAAGTGCATCGCCAAACAGTGGCTCTGTGACGGGGAGGACGACTGTGGTGACGGATTGGACGAAAGCGAGGAAATTTGCGGTAAAACTCTGAAGCACGTATTTGCATTTAGGCCACACAATGAAAGACTTCCTCTGAGAGGAAGGATATAAATCAACATGAAAGAGGTGGGAAGAAAAATTGGCCTGCGGTTTCATCATAGTCGCGAATTTATAGCCATGCTGTGCTCCTAACAAATGGTCTCTGGAAAAAAAAAAAAGGTTTCGCAAAGGTCAAACACAAGCAGATTGTTAAACAAGTTCTCAAGACAATGCTTAAACTCTTTCAATTACTTTGAGAAAGTTTTTTTTACACAAATGAATATTCATTAATGACACCGTGCAGTATGTTGGCTTGAGACTGCGATGCTTAGTCTCTCTCTTTCTGACTCTTTTTCTTGGCAGGTTCGGCAACATGTGCCCCCGGTTTGTTTAGTTGCCCAGGATCGTACGCTTGTGTACCCAGGAACTGGTTATGTGACGGGGAGAGAGATTGTCCCGATGGCAGCGATGAGCTTGCAGTAGCTGGCTGTGGTAACTTCAACCATGCTATTTACAAAACCAGCAACTTCCTCAAACACTTCCTCTTTTCACCTCAAACCGCAGTGTAGTAACATAATGGCTGCTTTTCTCAATAGTACTGAAGCTAGTAAACGAATGCATCAGTCAAAAGTTTGGACAAATTTGACTGAATTCATGTTACTCATGTTTGTTTAAATGCTAGAAATTGGTTTTCTTTCTTTCTTTCTTTCTTTCTTTCTTTCTTTCTTTTTTAATTTTAGGTCATGCATTGTTTTTATTTTTATTTTATTTTTTTAGGTCATACATTGTTTTCATTATTTTACTATTTTTCAATCAGTGACTCAATCAATCCAGGCATTTCATGTATTCTAATCTAATCTATTCTGTTCTATTTTATTTTATTTTAGGTCATACGTTTTTCATAATTTTACAGTTTTGCTAAAATGAAATTAAAATAAATAAATAAAAATAGCCATTTTATTGGTAGTCATTCATTCATTCATTCATTCATTCATTCACTCACTCACTCACTCACTCACTCACTCACTCACTCACTCACTCGTCCATCCATCCATCCATCTGTCCGTCCGTCCATCCATCCATCCATCCATCTATCCATCTATCTATCTATCTGGAACAATGAACACTAATTAACACCACTGTTGGGTAATAAGGTGCCAAATTTATCCAAAATATGTTATTTTTATCTGCTGTCCCTGAATTTTCAGACCCACAACCAAAATAATTGGGGATTTGAGACAAGTCTCAGGTGTCTATTATGTGATGCTCCTTTTATCCTAACACATAGCTAACGTCCTGTTTGTTCCTGTTCCTCTCTTTAATAAGCTCCGAACAACACGTGCACCGAGAGCACGTTCCAGTGCCGGAACCAGAACTGCGTCCCGCGACGTTTCGTGTGTGACCATGACGACGACTGCGGAGACGGTTCTGACGAGTCTCTGGAATGCGGTGAGCAACGCCGGTTTCTCGATTCATTACTTTCTGTTGAAAATGACCGTCCCTTTGCGGCCTGTTTAAAATGGGTTGCAATTGTGTTGGCACGACTTTAATTGTCAGCGGTTGGAAGCGGTTGCAGCATGCACAACTCACTGTCCCATACCTCAGATCTAAGAATAAACACACTTGCTCAGAATAATAGATGGAAATATAGGCTCAATTTTTATTTTTATTTTTGATCTATGAGATCTCTCTGATCTGATCTATGAGCTGATGATTCTCACAAACCTGTCCTGGACGCATTTTACCACAAAATCGAAAAGAAAAACAATTAGAAACTAAGCATTTTTGCATAAATTAAGTTGCAGACAATGAAATAAATAAATTTAATTTATATAAATTTAATTTGGAAAGCGTACTGTAATTGAGTACTGTTTTTTTTTTTCATTTTAAAATCAGCATAAATTTAAGTGAGTAAAGTGAAGTGAAAATATGTTTAATTAACATTAAAAAAATGCCCAAATGCAACATTTCTATGGGTGTTTTGTCTTTATGTAAAAAGTATTATTTTTGACATTAATAATTGTGCCTTTTTTCTAAGAATTGCAACTTTGTCCAATTTGTGACTTTATATCTCACAATATGACTTTTTTCGTAATTGACACTTTTTTTCTCATAACTGACTTCATATGTCATCATTGACTTCATTTGTGTATATATATATATATATATATATATATATATATATATATCTGTGTGTCTATTT